GATACATGAAAAAAGGAAAGATTAATGCTATCGTAGAAGAGTGAAATTATGAAGAAGAAGAAGAAGAAGAAGAACAAGAACAAGAAGAAAAGAAAAAAAAAAACTATATATATATATATATTATGTAGAAGAATTGGGAAAGACCTACTAGACAGGAAATTTAGATTTTTTTATGAGTTGTTAATGTGTTTCTGATGTCGGTGAATAGAAGAAAAAACAATCAAATGAAAAGAATAAATCAAATACCTAATACGTAAAGATGGGTTTCTGCGGAAGACAGGAAATTAAAGAAAAGAAAAGAAAAATGTAGTTTACTAAAATGATATTTCATGCAGTGAGATTTCAGCGAATGAAGAAAGAAATAGGAAAAGAAAACGGAGATAAAGTACCAAAAGCACCGGTGATTGAGGCTAAACTGTGACAGAAAAAAATATATGTGCTTACGAAACAAACCTGTCAGTGACGTTTGCATGCATGCAAGTGGTCCAGTAAAAAGGAATATTAGAGAGAAAAAAATTGTAAGCGAGGAATTAAAATAAAACGAACATTTAGTAGGCAAAAAAAAGAAAAAGAAAAAAGAAAAAAAAGGAAAAAAATAGTTCCCTAAGAAGGAGATATTTTCTGCCTTCAACAGATGCAAAAGCCGAATATGGAAACCAGATTTACTAAAGCATTTACGAGATCAAGACAGTATATATCTCGGATATACAGAAACCAGGAATTTGAAAGCAGCTGTAGAGCTTAGATCACAAGACCGAAAATTAAAAAAAAAGGCTAAAATTTTCGAAAGCTTTCTTGTGCGCTAGCAAATGCGATCTAAATTTGGTAGAGATAAAAGAGTTTAAAAGATTAGGCTACCGTGTATCTTTAGGTAGAGGAGGTATTGAAATATTTTAAAACGTGTGTGAGCAACCATTTGGTGCATTATGGATGGTGACTGGATGAATAAAATTTTATTTACCGTGAACGTTTACTCGCCACTATCTCACTATTTGTTTGTTTCTCTGATTCGTCTGTCTCTCTATCTCTCTCTCTTCTCTCTCTCTCTCTCTCTCTCTCTCTCTCTCTCTCTCTCTCTCTCTCTCTCTCTCTCTCTCTCTCTCTCTCTCTCTCTCTCTCTCTCTCTCTCCCTCCCTCTCTCTCCCTCTCTCTCCCTCTCTCTCTTTCTCTCTCTCTCTCTCGCTCTCTCTCTCTCTCTCTCTCTCTCTCTCTCTCTCTCTCTCTCTCTCTCTCTCTCTCTCTCTCTCTCTCTCTCACACACACACACACACACACACACACACACACACACACACACACACACACACACACACACACACACACACTACATTTTTTATCTCTCATTATACTTCTCTCTCTTTCATTCTCTCTTATTTTCTACATTTTCTCTCTTATTCTCTCTCCCTCTCTCCCTTTCTCTCCCTCTCTCACTCTCCCTCTCTCACTTTCACTTTCTCTCTCTCCCTCTCTCACTTTCTTTCTCTCTCTCTCCCTCTCTCACTTTCTCTCGCACTCACTCTCTCTCTCTCTCTCTCTCTCTCTCTCTCTCTCTCTCTCTCTCTCTCTCTCTCTCTCTCTCTCTCTCTCTCTCTCTCTCTCTCTCTCTCTCTCCCTCCCTCCCTCCCTCCCTCCCTCTTTCCCTCTTTCCCTCTTTCCCTCTTTCCCTCTTTCCCTCTTTCCCTCTTTCCCTCTTTCCCATCCTCCCACCCTACCTCTCCTTCTCCTTCTCCTCCTCCTGTGTATTCTTCTGGCCCTCTCCCTCATTCCCTCTCTACTTTCCATCATTCCTCCCATGTTCTCCTCTTCCTCTTCTTCCCATCCTCTCCTACTTACGTCCTTCTTTACTTTTTCCCTTTTTATCCTCCCTCCCTTTGTAATTTCCTTCCATTCCTTTATCTGTCCTTTATTTATCTCACCTTGTCCATTTATACCCACATCTCCCTTTTTTATCACTGTTCTTTCAATTCTCTCAACATCCCCTTTCTTGCCCTTCCTTTTTCCCTCCCTCCTCCCTTCACCTCTCTCTTCACTCTTTCTCTCCCTCCTCTCATCATCTCCAATATAAATTCCTTTTCTCTCCCTCCACTCATCATCTCAAATATTAATTCCCTTTCTCTCCCTTTTCTCTCTTTGTGGACAGGACTTCGAAGACCTCGACATGGCCAACGAAACGGACACACTGGGCGAGTTCCTCAAACTCACAGACGAAGAGAAGAAAAGCATCAAGATCGGCATCACGAGTCTCTTACCCGAAGAGAGAGCCAAGCAACAACAGGAGGGGGAGAAGATGACCAATGGCGTGTCAGCCAGTCGAGAGGTAGGGGTGCACTAAGGGATGAGAGAGAACGGAAAGGAGAGAGAGAGAGAGAAAGAGAAAGGTCATGACCCAACTAACAGGAAGTTTGTACTGTTTTTTTTTTTTTTTTATGGGATTTTAGTTTTGTAATATTGTACCCCTCAATAAATGATGCTCAGGCCCTACTAACATCTGTCTTGTACC